TTTATAGAAAGTTTGAGTTATCGTTAGGATAAGCATCAGCCACCATCATTACTTTTTGTGGTATAATAATATACTAGTTGCATACTCCCCGCGCAAGCGCGGGGCTGGAATCATTATGTTTGCGTATTTTTTTTTTCAATTTAGTGGTTTAGTGGATTCTTCTAATGACACCAAATAATAATGAAATGGAAAGAATGGAGTACGAGTGTAAAGTGAAAATATTGTATATCTAATGTGTTAAAGGTTATTTATATGCGAAGTAAGGTTTATAGGAACAGTTAGACTGTAAGATAATTTTTAGTGTGTAAAAGTAGGTGTCTATTTTTTTTTTGTTTGCTGTAAATAGTTTTTATATCGTATGTCAAAACTTGATATAATTCTATATTTATAGTATTTATATTTGTATTAAACGATTTATCAATTTTAAAATAACCTTAATTAAGTTAATATTCGTTGTTTAAGTTTCATTAGATAGGTTTTTATATATGGTTTTTTGTAAGTTTGGGTTTTGTTCATAAATGATGTGGCATTTTTATCTACGGCGTCATCGACTGTGGGAATCCATTCGCCGAAGTCTGGAGTCGGTGGTGAAGAATGTTTTCAATGAAATTATAGTAGTTATTAAAATGTAAGAGAAATTGCATATTCATTTAATAAATAACGAAAAATACTTAAATTTTGTTGTTTATTTTATTTTATTTCACTTACAAATTTTTTGAAAATATATTTAGGAATGAGTTAAATGTTATTTATATGCGAAGTAAGGTTTATAGGAATAATTATGCTATAATATAGTTTTTAGTGTGTAAAAATAGGTGTATTTTTTTGCTGTAAATAGTTTTTATATCGTAGGTCAAAACTTGATATAATTCTATATTTATAGTATTTATATTTGTATTAAACGATTTATCAATTTGAAAATGACCTTAATTAAGTTAACATTCGTTGTTTAAGTTTCATTAGATAGGTTTTATATATGTTTTTTTGTAAGTTTGAGTTTTGTTCATAAATGATGTGGCATTTTTATTTACGGCGTCATCAACTGTGGGAATCCATTTGCCGGAGTCTGAAATTGGTGGTGAGGAATGTTTTCAATGAAATTATAGTAGTTATTAAAATGTAAGAGAAATTACATATTCATTAAATAAATAACCAAAATAATTATTTTTTGTTGTTTTTTTATTTTATCTCATATACAAATTTTTTGAAAATATATATTAGGAAATATGTGCAATGATTTCACTTTTTGAGCTCTTAATCTATATTATTCAAGCCTCATTAAGCCATCCACGTAGGTAGCCGCGTGGGATTCACTTTTTTTGTTTGGTCGGTTCGTTTTTGGATTCATTTTTTATTATTTTTGGGTTGAACTATATTATAATAGGATAGTTTTAAGGCTCTTTAAGCCATCCGTGTAGGCAACCGCGTGAGACTTGCTTTTTTTGTTTTGTTTTTTTTTGTTCGTTTTTGCATCCATTTTTAACTATTTTTGGTTTGAACTCGTTAAGCTTTAGGGTTTATCCAACTTTTTTGATCTTTAAAACAATAAGCCATAAAAAAACATAAAAACCTTACAAACAAAAAGCCCATATGATAATAACCCAAATCAAAAAATCAAAAATAAATGATGGCTACGTGGTTTGAACCCACGATCTTGCATGCTTAATTAGACACCTTATACCACTTGACTAAAGTGTATTTCATTGTTTGTAATCATCTTACCAAGACTATAAGTTTTTAAAAAATACCTACGGGACCCACAAAACTGCTGACGTGGCGCGTTGTGAAGCCTAGAAAGTGTACTATTATAATATAGATTTAAACTATTTTGTAATTCATTAATATAAACTATATTATTTACCATGTTCTATTCCATTTTTATAATATTACTCTAATCATCATCATCGTGGATGTCATAATCACCACTACTCTAACAATATTTTTTTATTTTATTTTTCATTTACGTGACTGGTGCTTTTTATATGCTATTATTGTCTACCGCTTTAGAAAAGGGAGAAAACCGGAAGAAAATAAGGAAATGATAGGAGAACTAATAATGTTAACACCAATGTTATTTTCTAATTTTACTCTAAACATTGGATATTACACAAATTAACCCGATAATAATATACAATGTTAAGGTTGGGATTGTTTAGAACTTTTTTCTGTTAATGCTTGACATAAAAAAAATATTTGGCTGTTACTTTTGGGGCTGTGGCTTCAAAAAAAAGGAAATATTTTCTAAAGCTGCAAACTTTGGCTTTTAAAAAAAGTAAGGTAAGGTAAAGAAAAAAAAGAAAGTTAGACTTTAAGTGATTTTAAAGATTTTGAGAGATTGAAGAAAGTAAAAGCATGATTGGTAAGTTATTTTGCTTTAGAGACTTTATAACATAGAAAAGTGATGGGGAGAATTGATGATTACTTGTTGGCCTTATGCGGATCAAAGATGCTGCATGTAATATAGCATGCCCCCATGCAGAGACTGGGAGTTTTGATTTCATAAGAAATGGTCTAGCAATCAACTGAAGACGTTTAATTAACGATTCAGCTAAACCATTTTGTGTGTGAACATGTGCTACAAGATGTTCAACACTTATTCCAATAGACATGCAGTAATCATTAAAAGCCTGAGACATAAATTCACCAGCATTGTCTAGGCGAATAGCTTTTAACGGAAAATCTGGAAAATGTGCTCGTAATTTGATCAATTGAGCAAGTAGTCTCGCAAACGCTAGGTTTCGAGTTGATAGCAAGGAAACATGTGACCATCTTGTTGATGCGTCAATAAGGACCATAAAATATCGAAAGGTTCCACATGGTGGGTGAATCGGCCCACAAATGTCTCCTTGAATACGTTCCAGAAAATTGCTTGATTCATAAATTATCTTGGCTGGTGAAGGCCTTATGATCAATTTTCCTTGTGAACAAGCAGCACATGGATAATCATTAGAAAGCATCTTATAGTTCTTAAGTGGGTGCCCACATGAATTTTTGATTATCTTTCGCATCATTGTTGAACCAGGATGTCCTAACCGATCATGCCAAACAGTAATATTTTCGGTAAACTTCTGGTTTACTATGGCATTTGCCTCAATTGTATTAATCTTAGTGTAATAAAATCCAGTGGAGAATGCTGGTAGTCTTTCTACTACTTTCTTATAGCCATGAAAAATACTTGTGATATGAAGGAATTCAATATTTCCTTCATTCATGGTTTCAATATGATATCCATTTCTGCGAATATCTTTAAAGCTCAATAGGTTTCTTTGAGACTTAGGGGAATACAATGCATCAAAAATTTCAAGTTGTGCTCCCATAGGCAGAATTACACTTGCTCTTCCAGAGCCTTCAATTATCTTTGCACTTCCTGTTATAGTGCTCACACTTGCTTCTTTATTTATCAAATGAGAGAAATATTTCTTATTTTTCAGAATTGTGTGACTAGTTACACTGTCTGCTAAGCATATATCTCCACCATCCATTTCTATTCAAATAAATAAATAGGATAAATTATAATCTCATATAAAATAATAAATAGAATAAATTCAGTAATGCAAAAGAAACAACACCATAATTAATAAAAATTAAAAGCCAATAACTAAAAACTAGTAAATAAATAAAAACAAAGCATCTTTTAATTATTATTGCTCAATCAGTTTTTCTCTTCGTCAATGAGAAAATCGGAAAGGTCAAGGTGAGTGGCATCACCAATATCAAAGCCACCTTCTCCACCTTCATACACCATATTTGTTTCCACATTCTTTCCCTTTTGTTTCACTGATTGTTGTTACAGTTCAACAAGATGCTTTGGTGTACGGCATGTACGAAGCCAATGGTCTTTACTTCCACATCTGGAACATTCATTTGTTTGTTTGTGACCATCTTTCTTTTCCCACTTCTGGTGAGAGTTAGAGTTCTTAAAAGAAACTCCTCGGCCTCGAAGTTGACCATATCCACGACCACGTGTATATCCACGACCATGTCCACGACCACGACCGCGACCACGAGGGTAACCATTTCTGCGGTCAGAGTTGTTATGTTCAGTCACATTCGTTTCAGGGAGTGGAGCGGAACCAGTTGGACGTAGTCCATGATTTTTCATCAAAAGCTCATTGTTTTGCTCAGCCACAAGGAGACAAGATATAAGCTGGGAATACTTTTGGAATCCCTTTTCACGGTATTGTGTCTGTAGGACAACATTATTTGCATGAAAAGTAGAGAATGTCTTCTCTAACTTATCAGCTTCCGTGATTTTCTCTCCACATAACTCCAACTTGGAGGTAATTTTAAACAAGGCTGAGTTATAATCAATTACAGACTTGAAGTCTTGTAATCTCAGATGTGTCCACTCATAACGAGCTTTAGGTGAGATCACAGTTTTCTGGTGGTCGTACCTTTCTTTCAAGTTGTTCCACAAAATTTGTGGATCTTTCACCGTCAAGTACTCATTCTTGAGACCTACGTGGAGGTGATGACGAAGGAGTATCATAGCCTTAGCTTTATCTTGGCTTTGAGCTTCATTTCCTTCTAGGATAGTAGCTTCAAGTCCCTTTGCACTAAGGAAAAATTCGGCATCTAATGCCCAAGCCAAATAGTTGTCTCCAGTGATATCAAGAACTTCAAATTCAAGACTAGTAAACTTTAACATAGTTCACTTAAACAATAAAATTATAATCAAATTTTATAAAAATAAGAAATATGCGATCATTCTTAGTAATCCCCCTTCATATTAATTGAGAAGTCATCCCCCTTCATATTAATTGAGAAGTCATATTATTGACTTCTGCTGACGTGTCGATCATACAGGCACTCTCAAGAAAATCCTTTTAATTTGATTGGTGGATATTTTTTATTAATTTTTCTTTTTAAACGAATTATTCGACATAAAAAATAACTCAAAGGAACAAACTAAAAAAACCCTCTCTGTCGTACGATGGAAAAACAAATGAAAGTTGTGATTTTTTTTCTTTGTGGTCCCTCTTCTGTAAACCTAACACTACGAACATTTGATTTGAGAGTGTTCTTAATAATCCTATTCTCCGATGTTCATCGTTTTGGCTTGGGGATAACGCTGATTGGTGAAAACAATTTCCTCTTAATACACAATCGAGCGGATTTGATTTTTCTGAGAATTTTTGATTGTAGGTGAGTCAAAAACCCTAAATCTCCGTACCTTTGTTGTGGCTGCAGATGGCTTCTTCGATATCCTTAAAGCCGACGAACCTTCTCCTCTCGTCTTTCTCTACAGGCAGAGTCCTCCATCTCCGCCGCGCCCGTTTCACCCACAGACCTTCTTCTTCTTCTTCGTCTTATCGTCGGACTCTGGTGGCTCAATTCGGGTTCAGTCAAGGTCCCGTGTATCTCGATTTGATCAAAGAACATGCTCAGAATCTTCTCTACACGATCGGTGATGAGACTTTTAATTCTGTTTTCGGCACTACCACCACGACTGACCAGACCAGTGATTGGTTCACTGGTATCGCCAATTACATGGAAACTATTCTCAAGGTGAGAAAAAAGTTTCTCCTTTTTATCGAAGAAAATTGAGGCTGCAAAGACTCAAGATTTGATTATGTTTACATGTGTAATTGGATTTAGTTAAGATTTGAATGGCAGGTTTTGAAAGATGGGTTATCTGTACACGTTCCTTATTCTTATGGTTTCGCTATCATTCTACTCACTGTACTTGTTAAGGCTGCTACCTTCCCATTGACCAAAAAGCAGGTTCCTTTCTCTTTGTTTCTATAACTTGCTAAAGCCAAGAATCTATTAACATCAATCTTTTTTTACTGAAATAGTGTTTTCTTCTATTATAGGTGGAATCTGCAATGGCTATGAAGTCTTTGCAGCCTCAACTTAAGACAAAGAGGAATCGTCCCATTCTGCAAAGGCCTAGACATGATCCAACAAGCTCAATCCGGTACTGGTAAAACCGCGACATTCTGCTCTGGTGTCTTGCAGCAGCTAGACTACAGCCTTGTCCAGTGCCAGGCTCTTGTTCTTGCTCCAACCAGAGAGCTTGCTCAGCAGATTGAGAAGGTCATGAGGGCTCTTGGTGACTACCTTGGCGTCAAGGTACACGCATGTGTCGGTGGAACCAGTGTCCGTGAGGATCAGCGTATTCTCCAAGCTGGTATTCATGTTGTTGTTGGAACTCCAGGACGTGTCTTTGACATGTTGAAGAGACGGTCTCTCCGTGCTGATCACATCAAGATGTTTGTTCTTGATGAAGCTGATGAAATGCTCTCTCGTGGTTTCAAGGACCAGGTTCGTTTACGTTTCAAACCTTTCTAATTAATATATATAGACATAACCATTTTTTTAATAAAAGTTTAATATAATTATCTTTCAGAATTATTAAAAATCTCAAAGATTTCTGAGTGACATGAGTGGGAGTGCTCGTCATATTATAATAACACTTTTGTATTTTTATAAAAAAACATTAAACTGCTAATCAGTATTATATGTTTGTAAAGAGACAAGGTAACAACGGACTTGGTTTATCGAACCCTGAAACAACCAACGTACGTGGAAAAGTAAAGTATAGACACATGTTCAACGAATTGAGATTTCTAATGACAATTTATAAATAACAATGTTAGTTCGATATAATGATCATGTTTTTTTAATAAGATAGATGAAGATGAAATTATATTTAGAATTAAATTCTAATCTAATTGGTTTTGCTGTATGGTTGTTGTCAGATGAAGATGAAATTATTAAAAATCTCAATTTGTTTCGCAGGAGGGACATCCACCACTCGGATGGTCAGACACATTAGCATATCTTTCACCACTCGGATGCTCATCTTCTCTCAGTATCTCTCCATTCAGATTATGCAATCCTCTCAGCCACAAGTAAAGCATCTTCTCGCATTTTTGTTCAGCCACTACGCAGCTTACACGGGCCATGCTTACGATATCCAGGTATGCTAATGTAAAGACTTTATAAATCTTTTATGTGACGATGCCTATATAAATATACAACAACCCGTGGAAGCTGTTTTGATATAAAACATATACACTTGTGTTTGCTTGTATACAATTAGGTGGAGCGTATATATTAAATGAAAGGGACATCAAGGACCAAGGTATATTCAACAGCCGCTCAAGCTGAGTGTATTGCCGAAGGCTTACACATGGACCAAGGTATATTCATTCTCCTCTCTTCTAATAGTATAAAATAAACCAATATAAATAACCCGGTATCATCGGTTTGTGACATAAAATTTACCAGAATTTATTGGTTATTAAATAAGAGCCCAATATATTTTAATGCATATAACAACAAGAGTATTCACTAAGCCTTAACTTTCTTTGAATATTAGTTACCTTAATGTGGAGATTTTAATAAAAAGAATATTCACTAAGCCTTAACTTTGTTTTTAATAACTTCCCTTAGTTTGAATTACTTGCGCCAGTTGATATCATATTTATTGCATTCTTTAAATGTTATTTACCTTAATGTTTCTACTAAATTGATTCCATGCTTGATTGATAGCTAGATTACTTTGGCAAGTTGATATCATATTTATTACGTAAATATGATACACCTTAATGGTATTAATTAGTTAATTCGTTTTTATGTTTTAGCTTACCTTATTTACACCCATAAATTACTTGTAATAGGGGATATGATATTTATTGCAAAGCAATTTATTATGAATAATATCCCCTATTAACTAACGTGGAATTTAGAGTATATATAATCGAAACCCCCAAGTTCTTACAATACAAACTTTTGCTCTTTTCCTAACAATTTTTTGGCTAACAATGGCTCTGGTTCAACCCTCCAAAAACAGAATTTGTTACGTTAGAGAATTAAAACCCCGCAAAGATATATCGTGTATTGAAGTTAAGATTATTCGCTTGTGGAGAAGTTATAACAAAGAATCTGGAAACACCATCGAAATGGTTTTCGTTGATAAAGAAGTAAGTATGATATTATTAGAACTTTTTGCAACTCTGAATCGTATTTTATTAAGTATATATTCACGCTATTCATATAACTTTCATATATGTTAAATCAGGGGACAAGAATCCATGCTTCAGTTGGTGAACAGCTCATCAGAAAATATGAAGATGATCTAACTGAGGGCAATGCCATAGTCGTCCACTTATTCAAAGTCTATGATGCGACATGTGATTAGCTGTTAAGCACACATCCATACAAAATTGGCTTCTTTCAAACAATTTCCATTCGAAAAGCTGATGATTTTCCAATATACAATTGTAACATATATACAACACAATTTTGTAATGATAATATAAAATGTATAAAAAAATAAAATAATTAAAAAAAAATTATATAACTTCTAAAACTATGAACTATTTATTCTATATTTTTATTCTGTTCATGTCCGCACAGGGTGCGGATCAGTCACCTAGTAAATAAATAAATGAATTTATATATAAGTATAGATTTGCGTATAAAACTTATAAGGCAATGTCAATATTTGATGTTGAATGCATAAACGTTTCACACAAGTAATAATATGCAGCCGTAAAACGTAATCTTTAAACTATTAAAGTGAAACCAACAATTTATTAACCGAAAAGCTATACGTATGTATATAATTAAATAAACAAACCAATGAAAAAACTATCCAATAACTAACAAGGTGGAGACTAGATGATCAAAATATTAAAATCAAAATTTTAGTTATATGTGACGATACAATTTTATCATGATACTTCTAACATGCAACCGTATTTACCAAAACGTCAATATTAAATATCTGTATGCTTTTAAACTTAATATTATATGCAGATAATGATATGCATTCGTAAGAAACAATCATGGTAACATGCAACTATATTCAATATTCAAGATAGATATTGATTATGGCCTATACATAGCTATATAAAATAATAATAAAATATGAAGCAATATGAAAAGAAAAACAATAGCGAGTGATGACAAATTGCAGCCGTATATATGCGTATAAATAGTGACATATGTATTCTAACGAGTGAATGCAATATGAATAATATAAATATATATGCTAGCGTGATGACAAAATAATAAAATATGAGCATCACATATGATAATTAACAAAGAAAAACTTGCGATTGTAAAGTATAATCATAATAGCTGATTTTCCCGTGCTCATGCACGGGTATAAATATTTATTAAATAAATATACTATAATAATTGATTATTATTTATTTTTAATTTTCAATTAATTTTTAATTTTCATACATGATTTATATTAATAATATTATTTTACTTTAATTAGACATATTATTTTAGAAGTATTATATCTAGTCAATTTTATTATTTTATAGTTGATTTCACTATTAGTATTTGGGTATATTAGATTACATTCTTTTATCTGAATTCAACTATAATATTTTTTATTCTAAATATATTAAATTTTGATTAATTCTATTATTTACTTTTAGGTTGTTTGCTGTCTAAGATGTCAATATATTTTAGAAAAGTTATTTATAACTTAAGATATATTATGCCTATAATGAAATATAAAATAATTTTGATTTCAAATTACATCAATCGATATAAAGATAATCTTTGAAGTCTCATGCATATATATAAATTTCACAAAATAAATCAAATTAAAGTAATATTATTTATCATTTAAATGTGCACGTATTTTCANTTATTTATAACTTAAGATATATTATGCCTATAATGAAATATAAAATAATTTTGATTTCAAATTACATCAATCGATATAAAGATAATCTTTGAAGTCTCATGCATATATATAAATTTCACAAAATAAATCAAATTAAAGTAATATTATTTATCATTTAAATGTGCACGTATTTTCATAATATTTATCAAGTTATATGTTTGTTTAAAATATAGTAGAAAATAAAGCAATAATCAGTAGGAAGTTACATACTTAAGTAACTCATATATTTTTGGAGATTCATGAACACATATCAATATTTACAATAAATAAAATATTTTATAAATTCTAAATAATTTTATATCTTAGATTTATTGAATGATAAACTGAAATTATTTTAAATAATCTTAAAAATGAGAATTCGGATTTGCTTTGGTAGTTTTATTATAGTTATATTAAGTTACACAAACATAAATTTTTTTAAAAAAATTAAAATTAAGAAACATATAATTTAAATAATGATAGAATATAACATATATATGTCACTAACGTATATAGTGGTATGATATTTTAAAATATTTTGTAATTATTTGATTAAAAGATGTTTATTGTTAAAAAATATTTTAATTTCTCTTAAAAATAAGCAGTAAAAGTTGTGGTTGTATTTGAGAAATCATATTATATAAGTAAAGTTTAATTTATAGATATTTTTTTTTGCTTTAGTTGAAAGATACTATAGTCAACTAAATATATGAAAATAAATAATTCAATAATTTTAATTAAAAACTATTTTAGTTAATAAAAACATATACTTTGTTTATGTTACTTAAAATTATGTTTAAAAGTAATTTTTTTTTTCAAATATCAAAATTATATGTGTGAATTCTTTGTTATGAAATCACATTATATAAAAATATATATTTTCATATAAGAAAATACAGATATAAAGAAAGTATTTTATTAATTAAAAAGTACATTTTATGTTAGTTAAAATATTTTTAATGGATGTTACTATTTTGTTAATTTTCCCTTTTAATGAAATCATATTATATAAACATATATTTTCGTTTTTAATTTTTCGTTCTAAATTTTATAGATTTTTTTTCTATTATAAATTTTAGTTGGAAATGTTTAAAAAGGAAACTAAATACAAAATTAAGAATACTATTTTACTATTTTGATAGTATATTACTATTTTGTGAACTTTCCTTTTTAATGAAATCATATTATATAAACATATATTTTCGTTTTTAAATTTAATAATTTTTTTCTTTTTTATTATAAAAGTTATTTGGAATGTTTTAAAAAGGAAACTAAACATAAAATTAATAATATTATTTAAATACTATTTAAATATATTCATCAAGGGTATCATAGTAATCAACCAGTGTAAGAGTCAACGTGAGCGCGCCACATAGGAAACTGACTTCTCAAATAATATTATAGAGATTGAGAATTAGCTTATAAACATTGACAAGATCTCTTTTAAATCAAACGATTTTCTTTCCTTGAAACAAAGGTAGATCAATATTGTCAACTAAAGCTCCTAAGCTCATACTGTATATGGATCCATTCTTACAAACCATGAATTGATAATAAACATGATTTGAAGAAGGATTAGAAATAAACTAAGACTGTAAAAAAAAAAAATTTATACATATTAGCTTGCTAGAGCTTCGTGCTGATAACGTATTTTGAGTAAAGAAAAGAAGACAAGAGAAGAGAGGAATTGGTATATCTTATTCCATGAATAATGAACTCTTTATATAGGGATACAAGATGAAAGTTTAGCTTGGAGAAGAAGTACAAGAAAGTCTTGGTGATAACTATAACTATAACAGGGTCCATCATCTCTTCTTTTTCTTTTTTTTTTCCGGTGGAAACTAAATAGCTTATTCTCACATTCGAACAGAAAATTAAAAACACTACAAAGAACCAAGATTTGGAGAGCAAAAATGATCTGAATAAGGTAGATAAAGGTTTAATCTGGTGACATCTGGTGGTAAAGACCTTTCGCTGACGGAAATTAAAAGTTAGAGTTACATATGCGAGAGTAATTGACGGGGCCAGGATCAATTGCATAGTGGAAAGAGAAGGCATCAAGGTATGTATGTTTGCGTTAACACCATAAGAGCTGATAACGTAAGTGTTCGAAGTAAATCCGATCTGGGTATTTGGAAATTAAAGCGGAACCATTGATTATTTTTCTGATCTAGGCATAGTGATTGAAAGTCAGTGGAGGAGAAAGGTAACTGCCGACAACTGTTTGAGTTGTGGCACATACATAAGTTTTAGATTTCATTAGAAAATGCATAATTGACGATGTTTATATTTGTGTGTTGGTTGGTATGTTGTCTTGTTTGGTCAGTTGGCTTACACACGTTTATGGGTATGTGTTTGGGGTGGAAACGTAAGTACGTGTGTTTCTGTAGGGATGATGCCAAATGTACCAGCTAACAATTTTGGAAAATATGACTATGCTATATGAGCAACATAATAGTATAAGATGTTATGCTGTATAGTTCACAATATGTTTCTGGACTATACAATTAAATAGTATAGTACCCCGCCTGTCTATGCATTTTGTTTTTTACTTGGTACAGCTTTATTATGGCTCTCACGATGTCTGTGGCAGAAGGCCAGCTTATTGGAGGCTTGAAACATCATACAAAGCAAACGAGAAAAAATTAGAAAGCTTAAAGCAATGAACAATGAATTTCGACATGAGAGAAATTATGTTCACGAAGGCTTTAACGCTTCCGGTGACACCCCAGGGCTTTCGATGATAATTAGAAGCTTCAAATCAAAGTTCTCAAAGCTGCTGAAAGAGAGAAATTGCTCCGGAAATTTATTGCAATTTCTTGAACATGATTATTTTTTTGTAGCCACTGCTATCAGTGTTCCAGGGTTTTGACTTCCTATTCTCATGAAGTCTTTTGGATTACCAGAAAAAATGGTTTCCTCCGCATGTCTTATACTCGTTTTAACTTCTTATTCTCATGAAGTTTTTTGGCTTACCAGAAAAAAACCTACATGTGTGTTTCCTCTCTTATGTTTCCTTTATTTGTAACTTAAATCCTCTAATCATTTTTTGTTGTAATTTTCTTTCCATTTCATTACATAACAGGTTAGACTTATGTACTGTATTAAATAACATTTGCCTTCGTTTCATCTATAACTTACTATATCTTGCGACTAATCGTGAATGTGTGGTCCCGTTTTGTTTGCTTACCTTCAATAATTTTCTTCCTTATGTGTGTCTATATAGCCTCAATCAATGTCATTAACATTAAGGCCACTACAACTTGTATAACGTATGTATTAAGTATCTTATTTTCTTACCTAAATGATACCATAGACCATATATTATAGTTTTGTTTGGGTTGTCTACTACCTACATATTTGAAACCTTACTCAACCTCACATAAGAACGTGGAAACAAAGCGAATTTGGAGGTCTATGGTTTTTATCAACATTTTGGCATACTACATTAAATATAGTATAGTCTCATCTCCGTGCATGGGTATATTGTACATTTTTGGGCACCTTATGAATACGAAGTTACCAATTGTTGTGACTTAGTGTATGTCACAATAGTTGTATTTCCTTTCCATTTGTAGGATGGAAGAGTTAGACTTGCATGGGCATTTGTATTAAACAGGGTCCGAACCAACTTGTCGAAAAAGAATAAACAACTTCAATTATTGAGAGATTGAGTGATAAAAGCGACCCATTTCCTATGCTCAAATGGAGTAGTTAACGGAATCACAGTTCATAAAAATAATGCTAATAGTAACACATATACTTTCCTTCATGTTTGTCCACTTTGTCCATTGTCTAGTCTCACAATGTAACAAATATCAGGTTCCTATATATGTATTATATGCAACAAAGAAGTACAATTGCTTAGTGACATAGTAGAGAATTTTCATTACTATACTATAACATTTTTAATATAGTATAAATATCAATTGGCATACACAACAATTAGTCTATATGCAGTTCTTCTATATTAGATTGCGCCACCCCGTAAGTTCATTAGTTGTAGTCTTTGTTTTTTCTAGTGGCAGCTAACTCATTGTCATAATTGATAAGTCCTAGTGTGGTTAATTCTTGTAAATAACATAGTCAAATAAATAGGTTATTTGTTTCTATCAGACTACACTATACTATATATTATATAGTATAGTAACATATGGTGTTAAGTGCTGCATACGGTTATATTATATGAAATATAGTATAGTAATATTTGGCAGCTATTTGTTTCACATTATGTCTGTATATTCATAATATATGACATTTTTCTAATTTTGCGTCCTTGACATTCAAAAACTGTTTTTAGTTCATGATTGGAGATTTTAATGAAATAACTAGACATGAAGAAAAAGAAGGAGGAGTAGAGAGAGACGATAGTTAGTTTTTTCCTTTTAAGCAAATGATAAGGGATTATGGGATGCTGGAATGCACATGCACTGGCAATCAGATGTCGTGGGTAGGGAAGCACAGAACTAGGAGTGGAACCAGTACGGTTAGGTGTCGTCTTGATCGCACACTAAGCAATGAGAACTGGCATGAAAAGTTTCTACACTCTTCTGTTAAGTATCTCAGACTATGGGACTCGGATCATCGTCCAGTCCTTGCAAACATCCTAGTTAAGCCTTTCAAAGTAAAGAAGAAATTTAAATTCGACAAATGATGGTTGGACAACGAGGAAATAAGGCAAGTGATTCAAGATGGATCGAATTCTCCTGATCTCCCGACAAATGCAAATATCTTGGCACATATTTCATGCTGCATGAGAGCTCTAAGCCAATGGAGGAGACAAAATGATGTAAATTCTAAAAAACAGGTCGAAGATTTAAAAGAAAAGGTGGAAGCGATGTATCTGGATGATAATGTGACCACAGAGGAACTGACAATGGCACAAAAAGAGCTTTTTGATGCTCTTAAGGCAGAGGAAATATTTTGGAGGCAATAGAGTAGAGTATTATGGTTAAGAGAAGGAGACCTGAATTCCCAATTTTTTCATAATCTCACGAAGCAAAGAAGAGAAAGGAATAGGATTACATGCCTCAAAGATGAGCAAGGAAATAATGTGGAGGATGAGGAAGGCCTGGTTGCTGTTGCAACTAGTTATTTTAGATCCTTATTTGAGACATCTAATGCATCTGAATTGGATGAGGCCCTGGGAAACATCTCAGTGACGATTACTGATGATATGAATGCATATCTTGTGGCCCTAGTCACAGAATGGGAAATCAAACTTGCGCTTTTTGCGATGCATCCATAAAAGACACCAGGGGCTGATGGTATGAGTGCATTATTTTACTAGAAGTTTTGGGATATCATTAAGGATGAAGTGACTCGTATGGTCAATGAATTCTTATTCGATGGGATTATTGCTCCGGGTTTGAATAACAGCAATATCTGCCTAATTCCAAAGAAAGATAAACCAACGAAAATGGCCCAATTCCGTCCCATCAGTTTGTGTAACGTCAGCTACAAGATAGTCTCCAAGGTCTTGTTCCAAAGACTGAAGAAGATATTGCCGGATCGAATATCGGAAACCCAATCGGCCTTCGTTGCGGGTAGACAGATTACTGATAACATAATGTTCGCTCAGGAAATGTTTCATGCACTGAGAAAAAAGCCTGGAGGACGTCATAAGAGAATGGCAATTAAGACAGACATGAGAAAAGGATATGACAATGGAGTGGATCTTTATTGAAAGGGTACTAGCGAAAATGGGATTCTCTATAATTTGGATAAATTGGATTAAGCGGTGCGTACATCGGTTAGTACCAAGTCCTTATGAATGGTCAACCTAGAGGAAACATTGTCCCTGCGAGGGGCCTGCGTCAAGGAGATCCTTTGTCTCCTTTCGTTTTCATCCTATGCACGAAAGCACTCATTAGCCTTCTAAATCATGCAGAAACACAGGGGAAGATAACGGGAATTTGTGTCTCACGCACTAGCCCCTCGATACCTCACCTGTTATTTTCTGATGATAGCATGTTCTTCTGTAAGGCGGAGCCCCGTGAATGTGATGAAGTTATGAAAGTGGTAAAGATCTACGAAAATGCGTCGCGACAATGCATTAATTTTGAGAAGTCATCGCTTCTGTTTGGGAAAAGGGTACCGACAAATATTAAGCAGAAGATCAAGGACACCTTGTCCATTGATAATGAGGGGGGGGGAATGGGTACTTACCTGGGAATCCCGGACGACATAAGTGGATTAAAATGCAAGCTCTTTTCTTTCCTAAAGGATAGATTGGATCATAGAATTAATGATTGATCAGCCCAGTCATTATCACGCGGAGGCAAAGAAGTTCTGATTAAGGTCATAGCTTTAGCACTTCCAACGTACGTGATGTCTAGTTTTCTTCTTATTTTGGAGATATGTGACAAATTAGCAAGTGTGATTGCCAAATTTTGGTGGAGCTCAAATCCGCCTAGACGAGGTATGCACTGGGCATCATGGGATAAACTTTGTATTCCCAAAGAAGGAGGAGTTGGGTTTAAGCTAATCCACGAATTCAATTTGGCCTTATTGGCCAAACAGCTATGGAGACTAATTCAATTCCTGGACTCTCTTCTTGCAAGTGTTCTGAGAGGCTGGTACTATCGACAAAGCTCTCCACTGTGGGTGGTTGAGGCATCTTACCCGTCATATGTGTGGACGAGTCTGATGGCTGCCAAACCTTTCTTAATGCTGAGAATCAACCAGAAAGTCCATTCAGGATATCAAATCCGTGTGTGGGAAGACCCATGGATACCATCAACCCCGTCAAGACCGGCTCGTGCAACTAATCCAATGGTAAATCCGAGAATGATAGTTAGCGAACTGATCCACGGTTTACCGAAGATATGGAATGTGGAGATGCTGGAGAATCTTATTGTTCATGAAGATATTACATTAATCTGGAGCTTGGCCATAAGCCAATCCCATGAGAAGATAAGTACAGATGGAGTTATACTCAACATGGGATGTACACGGTGAAATCAGGTTATTGGGTCGCGAGAAACATTCTGAACCGTGAGATTGAAGAGAAGGTCGAGGAACCAAGTGTAACCAGTTTAAAGTCTTTTGCTTGGAAAATTCAGGCTCCACTGAAGATCCGCCACCTCATATGGCAGTTGGTATCATGTTATATAGAAGTCACGGGGAACTTGACAAGACGCCATATGCGTTGCGACAATTTTTCCCCATATGTGGTGAACCAGATGAATCTGCTAGCCACGCTATCTTTGAATGTCCACCGGCTTTGCAGACATGGGCCCTTGCATCGACACCCTCACGTCCAGGAACTTTCCCAACAGCGAGCATATTCACAAATATAGACTACCTGTTTTGGCGAAAGAATGAGATTGAAGACCGTGATCTAGATAAGGACCCTTACCCATGGATTATTTGGTTCCTATGGAAAGCACGGAATGAAAAACTTTTCAGAGGCATTTCCAGAGATCCCCTTGAATTGGTGAGACATGCAGAAAGTGAATGCATTGCTTGGTTTGAAGCAAATGTAAAAAACTCTGAAGTAGACCAGACAGACAACATGGAGATGCAAGTCCTAAGCTTGCAAACATTTGTTTAGTGGATGGATCATGGACAGCGGAAGCAGACCGAAGTGGATATGGATGGGTTTGGATGGATGGGCGAGGGAAGGAACATCTTTTAGGTCTAAGGAACAAAGAAAACCGTATGTCTTCTTTGCACACAGAATTGGAAACATTGATGTGGGCGATGGAGATGATGATTCAGAATAATGCATGTCAGCACATTGGGACGGACTGTAAGAATGTTATGGCAATGATACAGAAACCGAAGGACTGGCCAAGCTATTCGACAGAACTAGGAGAGTTTGCCCTACTGAAGAACAAACTTCCAGACTTCAAGATCTCTTATGTGCCAAGGACGCAAAATTGGACCGCAGATGGTTTAGCTAGGGTTGCACATTATTTTTATCGCCAGTTGTTTTTTGTTGGTTGTTCTATTTCGGTATGGATTCCCAGACCACCTCAACTTTGAGTAATAGAATGACCTTTTGATGTTTAAAAAAAAAGTCGCTTTTTCCTTATTGCATTCTTTTCTATTCATGTGAACTCTGTCACAGATCCTTAAAGCATTCATTGACATTGCCATGAACCTTACTCTCCAAAACTTCACAACATTTATTTCCCATCAAATGATAGAATGTCATAAGCTCTGACAGTTGCTCAGTGTTCATCTTGTTCATCATGTTCCTTGCCATCCTCTGCTTTTCCTGGTCTACTTTCATCTTTTTAATATATGATCCCCCGTTCCTCACCGTTGCTTCCATCTCCTTCAGCCTCGTCTCTTGCTCTGCACTTAGAGCTGTGTTGGACTGTATAACCCCACAACATACACAAAGGAATAACTAACTCGGTAAAAAGCAAATAATTATACTTTTTTGGACAAGGAAATAATTATACTATATTTTGATAAACCATCTCTCAATAAGGAAAGAGACGTTGTGGTGGGCTAAAGAGCCTATGGGTCAAGCCGCGTCTGAGGATCGGTCTGCGTGAACAGAATTGTGCATGGAGATCCATTTTACGTTTTTAGAGTAGGTCCAGACCGCCCTAGCATGTGTTATGTACCCTCATGCATCTGTTTTGCAAAACGAAATCAGAACAGCGTATATGATTGAATTATTCAGGGCTCAAAATGTCCCGGGCATAAAACGAGCTGGCCCAGTCCGGGGTCCATTTGGCCCATGACAACAACCATATACATCATATAATCCCCACTGAAATGAATATTGAATCATAGCCATATGTTAAAGACTTAGCTTTTACTATGTAACCCTTAAGGACTGTGAAAGGCCAAACATGCGTCTCTCAACCACATTTCCTCTTTGCAACAATATTTTTTTTTTGATAACGAACGGCTGATCTATTACTCAAGCTTGAGTTGGTCTGGGAAGCCAGACCGGAATAAAACAACCAACATAAAATAATTCTCGATAAAAGGATCGAGCAGATTTAGCTAAAGAGTCAGCAACACTGTTTTGCGTCCTAGGAACATAGAAGATCTTGAAGTATGGAAAACAGATCCGTAGCGTCATGATCATTTCTAACTCCGTTGAGAAACTTGGCCAGCCGTGAGGATCTCTAAGCATTGTTGTTTCCTTGCAATCCGTCCCAAAGCTCTGACATAGCGAATGTTGAAGCATATTCTCCATTGCCCACCGCAATGCTTCCAGCTCAGAGTGCAAAGCAGACTCCATTCTACTATAATTACGCATACCCATTAGCTGTCTATTTCCCATACTGTCATTCCAAACCCATCCACATCCACTGAATTGAGCTGTATGTGTCCAAGAACCGTCAACCATACAGATGTCTCCCAGACTTATGGTCTGGTTGTCGATATCTATGTTCCCTTGATTTGGCAATATAATCTGTTCATTTGCTTGAAACCAGGCTTGGCACTCACTCTCTCCATACCGGGCTAACTCCAATGGGTCTCTATCAATATCTCTGAACAGCTCTTTCCAACAATATGAAAGCAGGAGTTATCTAAAGTTAAGCAGATATATTTAGTATTCTTTACCTCAAGAAACTCGTCACCAACTTCGAGCTCTGATCCTTTTGATGGGTTCTTACGCGGTCCAGGTGCTCCTTTAGCATACATATTCCTCGCAAGTAAAAAACTTCGAACAAGTATCTTTCTTTTATTCTCCATCTCTCTATTAAGCTCTAGTGTTTTGGGAACAGACATTGTGCTATTCAGTTTCTTCTGATACGCAATCACAGCCTTTGAAAATTCCTAAAATAACACAAATTAAACCTCGAAACAATCAAATTCACAACTCCATTTTGGGGACAGTGTAATATCTATCTTCACGAACACAGACCTGATATGCAGCAGGACAACCAGGATAATCAAACTCATCAAGATCATCTGATCTCATTCTCTCAGGATGAAACTGTAAACCCATTACGAACTTCCCTTCTTCAGGATTATACGCATCCGGATCGTTAAAACCTTCCATCAACCCATCAGAAGCAAACGCCATTGGCACAAACCTCTGTGCCAATCTCTTGGCACCTTGATGGTGATAACTATTAACCAAAATCTCCATGTTTTCTCCATCCAACGAATCTTTAAACCATGAATGAAGTGGACTCTTCTCTGTAAGCTCAAGAATCTGGAGCTTGATAGATTGCTACAGTGTTGGAGTTTTGGTTCGCGTGCTTCTGTTACACAGAGGTAATGGTGTGTCCAGCTTTGGTTCGCGTACTTGTGTTACACACAGATAATGGTGTGTGACACACGCTTCGGAGAATAAAAAGGAATCATCAAGATGCGGTGATATGGAATATTCCCATATATTTGGCTGACGAATTTGTATTAGAAAACGGATTAGTGGGCTTAATGAGCTAGGGTTTTTCTTGTTGGAGTATAAAGAGACAAGATGGTGAGATGAAGCTGTCACACGTCTAGGGTTTATTTAAGATGCACATGGATGTGTGTGACGTCGTCCTACCAGACAGATGGAGAGATCTGTTGGTAGTTTTGGTATGGAGAACTATACTTGTCAGAGTAGTAGTTGCTCTTATCATTGTAATTCTAGATTAGAGTGGTAGGCACGGGTGTGTGTTGGATACCATATAGCAATGGTTTGTTGCCGCCTTTTCTAGTGAATGAGTTCTGGAAGTGGTCCCGGGGATGTAGGAAACGAACCTCGTTAACAAATCTTTGTGTCTCTTTTCTTTATGCTCGTATATGTTTGCATCACACTACACCACACTCGATTATATAGGTTTAGCCACATACCATGTTTTCACAATTGGTATCAGAGCGGGTGCTCGTAGAGATTCATCTTATTTCGGGTAAATCCTGGATATGGTATTTGTGACTTTTGATTCTGGTCAAACAAGTATCATGAAGTTTTTCACAGAGTTTTCCATCCAAGAGAGGAGATGGTGCTTGATACAGGGGGAGTTTAAGATGTGTAGTGTGTTTGAAGGTTATTGAGCTTTAGTTGTAAAAATCAGTGGAAAAGGGGGAGAATGTAAGCTCAAGAATCTGGAGCTTGATAGATTGCTAAAGTGTTGGAGTTTTGGTTCGCGTACTTGTGTTACACAGAGGTAATGTTGTGTCCAGCTTTGGTTCACGTACTTGTGTTACACACAGATAATGGTGTGTGACACAAGCTTCGGAGAATAAAAAGGAATCATCAAGATGCGGTGATATGGAATATTCCCATATATTTGGCTGACGAAATTTGTATTAGAAAAAGGATTAGTGGGCTTAATGAACTATGGTTTTTCTTGTTGGAGTATAAAGAGACAAGATGGTAAGATGAAGTTGTCACGCGTCTAGGGTTTATTGAAGATGCACATGGATGTGTGTGACGTCGTCCTACCAGATAGATGGAGATATCTGTTGGTAGTTTTGTTATGGAGAACTATACTTGTCGGAGTAGTAGTTGCTCTTATCATTGTAATTCTACATTAGAGTGGTAGGCACGGGTGTGTGCTGGATACCATATAGCAATGGTTTGTTGCGGCCTTTTCTAGTGAATGAGTTATGGACGTGGTCCCGGGGATGTAGAAAAAGAATCTCGTTAACAAATCTCTATGTCTCTTTTCTTTATGCTCATATATGCTTGCATCACACTACATCACACTCGATTATATAGGTTTAGTCACATACCATGTTTTTACATTCTCAACAATCCTGACAACATGTCTATGCCCATCATAGTTGTCATAATCGATATGCTTCGTTCTACGTTCTTCCGGTAACTTATTCGTTAGCTCTTTCTCTAAGTCAAGATAGAGAGTCCCACCACAAGAAACATTCAAAATCTGCCAAAAAAATGTTGTCATCCATCATTAACATGAAAACTACAAAAGACATACACTTTCAAATTGTAAAAAAAAAAAAAACATACACTTTCAAAAAGAGAGACATATATATTTACTTGTGATCCTCTGCAGATTCCTAAGTAAGGATATTCTGTTCAAGGAAGACCTAACTCAATAGAATCTTTCTTTTTTCAATAGCCGTATCATTCGCATGTGTGTCTCTAATCTCTTGAAGCTCTTCTGGTGAAAGAGAGGAGATTTCAGATTCGTAAAGAGAAGGATCAATGTCTTCTCCTTCACAAAGAAGAACTCATGGATTGGATTGAAACTATCAAGCAGCATATGAACACCAGTGACCCGTGGAACAATCACTGGTACATATCCATAGCGAACTATCAAATCAAGATGATATTCACCTGAAAAATCAAAACACTCACAATCATCATATTCATTTACAGAGAAACCCACGAGAATATTCATACAAATGTTTTGTTTTTTATATCACAAAAAAAGGTAACCATCAACCATGCATGCAATAAAATATAGAGGTTAGAGAAGAACCAACGAAGTTGACGAATTTATTTTTACGAACGGTGGGAGAAACGACGAGGACACGAGAAGAATTTGAGAGAGATTCTCCATTTACCCAGAAAGAGAAAGGGATTGAGAGATTCAGGAGAAAATAGTTTATATGGAGATCCATTGTGACGTGAGATGAAGAGTTTATTGTGGGAAGAGAGAAGAGGAAACGCAAATTTATGGTGAAGAGAAAGGTTGAAACCGACTTGAATTTCTTCTTATTAATTGTTTAAACAAAATTTTCAATCATCTTATATATTAAAACAGAAGTCATGACTTGACTTCATGTGATTTTTTAAAAAATGAACTATTACTAGAAAGTTATGTTACATTAACTCTCTAATAATCTTATCATTATTATATCTTATGAAAAATCATATCTATAATAACAAAAATATACTTAACAATTTGGTTTTGGTAAATTACCCCACACCTTCCAACTTAGTCACACAAAATATGTCAATAGATATAAGTTTAGAAATCTTCTATTATTTATAAGGAAATATGTCAATAATAGTTAAATGCATCCACAATATATTAACAAAAATCACAGATTAGTAATATGGAATATTTATATACCCTAACAAAATTTACACGCTATATATATTAGAAAAATTTATTTCGATGAAAAAAAAATTTAAAAAGAAATTGTTTAAAAAATTCCTTTTTAATAAAATTCTTTATAATATTAATTTATGAAGTTATAAGTTTAGTTTATAGCAAAAATATCTTCGAATTTTGTATTATCTTTGCAAATTAAAGTACACTAATATTTAATCAAGCTGTATTTATATTACTTTATCTAAAAATGAAATACTAATCTAACAAACAATAAAATATAGAAGAAACAAACACATGTTTGAAAAACATGTATAATATAGAAAATTTGAAACAATCTATTTGATTAAAACACTTATTATATAATATTATTATGTTTGAAAATATTTACTATACATATCGTAAATATATGATTACTATAATATATATCAATTTAAAAGTGAAAATAAAATTTTTATATAACTAACTATAAACGAAAACAAATACCCGCGCGGTTGCGCGGGTCAAAATCTAGTCTATACTATTAAAGCTGAAGTACAAAAATAAAGTGTTTGGAAACATGAATAAGAAAATTTTAAAAGTTTGATTGGAAACATGAATAGCATACAAATTTAATGTGCTTATTTATTATACTAAAGATTACTGCGGCCCAAGGTACCATTATTATTGTTTTTGGATTTTCTATCATTGATATTACTTTATTTCTACAAATTATTTATACATATATGTATTCATGTTTTAAATGTATTTAGAATAAATCAAAAATAATATATATTTTATTTATATAATTTATATTGACTATTCTTATAAGTTTTTAACAGTGATATACTAGCCTTCCAATTCTTCATTAAAAAATTAAATTAAAAATTTGACTAAATTATTTAGTGTATATAACTTTACACCAAATTTAGTCAAAAAACTTTATAAACTATTACTAAAATGTTTACGGGTCACAACATTTTNTCTTATAAGTTTTTAACAGTGATATACTAGCCTTCCAATTCTTCATTAAAAAATTAAATTAAAAATTTGACTAAATTATTTAGTGTATATAACTTTACACCAAATTTAGTCAAAAAACTTTATAAACTATTACTAAAATGTTTACGGGTCACAACATTTTACGACGCCCCTGTTACACAATACAATAATGAAATACAATGTTTAAACAATATACAATTACTTAGTAAAATTGGAACCATTAAATTGTAACTTTGAAATGTTATCTATACCATAAAAACAAAGACCCGCCCAGTAGGGCGGGTTATGATCTAGTATTGTTTATACATATATAATTAGGGTCAACCCGCCCTACGGGTGGACATGCAATTAGAAAACTATTTAAAATATATTAATCGATAAAATACATTTTGAAAATTTTAGTTTACCCTCTATTTAAAGTTAGACTATACTGAATATTTTTTTTAATTTTTGTTGAAAATAATAAGCTTTTAATTTTTTAAAAAAATTATGATGCAAATGTCATATTTTACGTTTTTGTCAATGTTTATACTTTATTTCTTATAATCAGTAAGTAAAATACATTAATTTTCTCGAAGTTTGGAGTTGAAAATTCAATTATGAATTATTTTGACCCTTTATACTTTTTTTTTGAATCCACTGAGACTTTTATTTTCTCTTATAGATTTTCTTTTAGACATATTGATTAAGATACTACAAAAAGTAATACTCGATTCACCATTTTTTCTAATTAGCTAGATAGTACACAAATATAATACTGATTGTTGCTATTTAAAAGTATAAATATTTATTTGAAATTTTATCAAATAAACACATTATTCAAACTGATTAGTTATTTTAAATATATTATTGTTTAGTTCTCAAAAGAATACTTATTGAGGGTTTTATTACTTAATATTACTTTTTGTATTTGATTTTATATTGGTTTATTTGTATAATTAATCTAGTTATTATTAAACAAATTATTTTAGATTTAAATAAATAATATATGTATCATGTTTAAAATATATTTGTATGCTATGATTTCAGGCACATTTGTTTACCGAATAATTAAAGGGGTTTTTGCAAAACCAACCTAAAATTTCAATTCAAATACAAAACCAACCTCTTTTTTTTTGTCATTACTATTCACTCTTAAAAAACCTAAACTCTCCTCATGTTTCCACCTATTTACCAAATTGCCATTATTTTTAAATCTGATTTTATTTTCGAAAATTATAAAAAACCTATTACACCCTAAACATTTCTCCTTATTTACCATAATGCCATTGTCATCAATTTTGCAACCACCCAAAACCACCATTGATGAGCTCTTTAAGCTTGTGTTTATGAAATTTCAACCACTTATTTCACTTTCTAAACAAACAATACTTCATTTCCTCTCATTTCCTCTCTATTTTCATCTAAACAATCCTCATAACTCTCATTTTCATAAACACAAACTTCATAGTTTCGATTTTATCCACAAGTGGATCGTA